CGCAAACTTCGATGCGGAAAGTCTTCCGCGGTTCTCACACCCGAGGAGTTTTTGGAAGGGCTGGATGGCAGAGGGGTCGTGCCGCCAGCCGCTTTTGGCCATTCGGCCCCCGTACAACAAGGACTCAACCATTCTACCCAGACTCGTCTACCCGACATAACTTCCACCAATTAAGGGGATCAGATCGTGGCCGAGGCAGCCGAGGACGCTCCCGGGCAAGATTCTCCAACTGTAAGTCAACATTCTACCTTGCCTCTAACCTCCTGCCACATCGCAGGTCGTGTTTCTCTTTTTTTCCAGAACTGGGCAGACCTATCTTCAGACACGTGGATCCTCCAAACGGTGCGGGGCTATCAAATAGAGTTCGACTCAACCCCGCTCCAGCAGGCCCCTCCACGTCCGATCCAGACTACACGGGCAGACGCCCATCTCACTTCACTCCAAGGGTGCCATCCAACCAGCTCCGGACTTAACAGCAACATCTTCCTGGTCAGAAAGAAAATAGGTGAATTTCGCCCCTTTATCAACCTCAGGGAGCTCAATTCTCACGTGGTATACTGACATTTCAAAATGGAAGGTATCCACCTTCTCCGGGACTTGCTGCGATGCAACGACTGGTTCACCCGCCTGGACCTCAAGGACGCGTACCTTACCATTCCGGTACACAGAAGCAGCCGTCCCTACCTCCGCTTCTTCTGGCACGGGACACCCCGGCAATTCACCTGCCTCCCGTTTGGCCTCAGTTCGGCCCCGTGGTGGCGAAACTCAGAGCTCAAGGCATAAGATGCATCATCTACCTTGACGAGGATGCAAGGACTCTGAGGACACACACGAACTACACTATTCGAGTCTCTAGGTTTCGTCGTCAATCATCCCAAGTTCGCAATGATCCCAACTCAATTAATTAAATTCCTTGGATTTGTAATAGACTCCACATCATGCACTTTTCACCTCCCGGCCACAAAAATTACAGCCATCCGCAGAGAGATCCAGAAAGTCCTTCGGCGGACAACCATACCCCTATGACTACTGGCACGGATCGTAGGCCTTCTCTCCGCATCCATCCAGGCCATTTTCCCCGGACCCATGCACTACAGGGCCATACAGCGCCTCAAGGCAAGATTCCTTCGCAGAAAGCCTACATACGACCAACCGGTTCCAATGTCGGACGAAGTTCGGGAGGAACTACGCTGGTGGCTGAACTGCATGCAGGCTTGGAACGGCAGGGCCATATTCGGGAACCAGCCAGACTTCGTGCTGGAATCAGATGCCAGTCGTTCAGGCTGGGGAGCAACGGACGGAACATCCTCCACAGGAGGTGTATGGACCGCCGAAGAGCTATCGATGCACATCAATTGCCTGGAACTCCTGGCCGGATCATTCGCCATTCGCAGTCTGGCAAAGGAACGATCCAACTGCTGTATCCTGCTCCACATGGACAACGTCTCAGCGGTAAGATACATCAACCGCATTGGAGGCACTCATTCTCAGGCACTGGTGGATCTCACGAAAGAGATCTTCGATTACTGCCTGCCACGCAACATCACCTTCCTGGCAGAGCACTTACCAGGAGACTCCAACACGACAGCGGATTGGTATTCACGCCACTGGCGGGACGCCAGCGATTGTCAACTAGACCCTCATATTTTCACAATACTGGATGTACAGAGGGGACCTTTCTCCCTAGACCTATTCGCGTCCTGCAACAACCGACAGACGAAGGATTTCTTCAGCTGGCTCCCAGACCCGCAGAGCCTCGCAACGGACGCTTTCCTACAACAATGGCCTCGATACGGTGCTTACGCATTCCCACCATTCACAATGATAACGAGGGTCCTTCACCGGATCCGCTTGCAGAGAGTGAGGATAATCCTCATCACGCCTCTTTGGCAGAGCCAGCCATGGTTCCCGGACGTTCTGGAACTGTCAATCAAGGATCCCCTCCTCCTACCAGATGCTCCAACTATCCTCAGAAACCCGTTGGGTCTACCTCACCCGCTGGTCATGCAGGAACGCCTGTCCCTTGTGGCCTGGACTCTTTCCGGGGTTCCTGGCAAACCGAGGACTTATCGCAGTAAGCTAAGGACCTCCTATGGGACTCATGGACACCAGGAACGAGGAGGTGCTATTTATCAGCATGGCACTCCTGGACAAGTTGGTGTGTGGGACGGGACCTCAATCCCTTTACTGCACCTACTCACTCCATCATGAATTTCCTGACCTCTCTGTTCACTGCTGGGAAGTCATACCGGTCCATCAACGTGGTACGATCAGCCATCTTAGCGGCCCATACTCCGACCCAGGGGTCACCGGTTGGTAAGGATCTGCTCATCTGCAGACTCCTCCGCGGCATGCGCCTTCGGCGCCCCCCGGAACCCAAATACTCTAGACTTTGGGACGTTGGCGTGGTCCTACAATTCTTACGAAATTGGCCTCCTAACAAGGACCTGTCACCCCGCCAACTTACCGCAAAATTCACCTTCTTGCTCTGTCTGGTTTCCTTTCGACGGGTATCCGACGTACGCGCTTTCGACACCAATGCTTTTACCTTCTGCCCGGCTGGGGTTACCTTTCAGGTAGCATAATCTTCAATTTTCATTTCTGGGCTACCATACAGTCTAAAAGGCAACATAGGTCCAGCAAACCAAAAAAGGGGAAAGTGCTATATTTGACCCCTGCAAGTTTCCAAAAACTCATAAAACCTGTACATGGGGGTACTGCTGTACTCCTGAAACATTGCTAAATACAAATGTGTGTATTTTATTCCAGTAAAATCTAACAGTATTATGACATTCACAGTTAAATTGTCACGCAGAACTTAAAAAATAATTTTATTCACATTCAGTTATGTTGATTATATATAAATATGTGATATGAAATTAAAGCCCTGTTTCTCCTGAACAAAATGATATGTAATAAGTGTGGGTGCACTTAATATGAAAAAGGTTAATTATGGTTGAATAACATGTAGGGCAAAGTCCAGGTTTTGTTTACGTTTTGTTTTGATCACAGCTTATATCATTTGCTCCGGCCTTAACCCCCTTAAGGACTGCAGGCATTCTATGGGGTGGCTCTAAACGCCGGAGGGCGGCATAGAACGTCCCATGCTGGCGGTCTCAATCTTGGGGTCTGTCTGGGAGCTCAGGCAACCCCTCTGCCCTATCTGGCCCTGCCAATCTTGCAGGGGTCCTCGTGATCACATGGCCGGAATAGCCTGCTTGTGCAGTGCCTGTCCCCCTAGAGTCTACAATTTTTTTTTTTTTTAAAGTAAGTGAAATTTTAATTATAAAGTACATAAAAAGTACAAGTAAAAGATCACACACATATATATTATAATCTAAGTACTTTTATATACACATACACAATCCATTATTCTAAGTGTATTTTAATATTAAAATGATATATATATATATATTAAAATAAACTTAGAATGACGTTAATTATATATATATTATAATTTTATATTGCGTCTAGCAGCACAAATGAACCAGCTACTAGCAACAGGCTCCCACCCTGACTGGCTAACACAAGTCAGAACAATGCTGGTCATGAAGGACCCTCACAAGGGAACAGCATCATCCAACTACTGACCAATAACCTGCCTCCTCAAAACATGGAAACTCCTGTCAGGCATCATAGCCTCCAAGATCCAAGGGCATATGAGTCAATATATGAGCAATACTCAGAAGGGCATTGGAAACAACACCAGAGGATGAAAACTCCAACTACGGGTAGACCAAGCAGTCACAAGGGATTCTAAGACCAGACAGACTAATCTATGTACGGCCTGGATTGACTACAAGAAAGCCTATGACACTATTCCACACACATGGATTCTGGAATGCTTGGCTCTCTACATGGTCAGCAAGACAATTAGAGCCTTAATCAAGAACTTGATGAGCAAGTGGAAAACAACTCTAGAAGCCAATTCCAGGACAATAACTCAAGTGAACATTAAATGTGGCTTATACCAAGGTGTAAGGCCTCAACCCCCTTAACCAGATCATCAAGAAGAGTGGATACAGATACAGGTTCAAGAGTGGAGCTACCATCAGCCACCTACTCTACATGGACAACATAAAGCTGTATGCCAAGAATGAACGAGACATTGACTCACTGATCCACCTAACAAGGATATACAGCAAGGACATCGGAATGTCGTTCGGACTAGAGAAGTGCGGGCGGATGATAGCAAAAAGAGGGAAGATGATCAGGACAGAAGAAGTTGAAGTTCCAGAAGGCCAAATAGAAGATGTAGAGAACAGCTAAAAGTACCTGGGGGTACCACAAACGCATGGCAACCATGAGGAAGAGGCAAGGAGGATAGCAACATCCAAGTACCTCCAAAGACCCAGCTCAATGGCAAGAACAAGATCCAAGCAATCAACACATATGCCCTACCAGTCATCAGGTACACAGCTGGAATAATAACCTGGCCAAGAGAAGAACTGGTCACCATGAATGTCAAGACCAGGAAACTACTCACTATGAATGGTGGAGTCCAACCGAAATCCAGCACCCAGATACTTTACACCTGCTGGAAGGAAGGAGGTCGGGGCCTGATGAGTGTCAAGGCCCTGGATGAAACACAAAGCATCCACAAGTACATCATGACGATGGCTCCCCAAGATGAACTGCTAAGGGAATGCCTGAGATTTCCACAGATCGAGGATGCAGAAAAAGAGGAGGTTCCTTGGCAAGACAAACCTCTCCATGGGGTGTACCACCGGCAGATAATGGACATTTTGTTTTGATCACAACTTATACAACTGCCTCAGTCCTTAAGGGGTTAAACTAAAATGTTTACATTGCAGAGTTAAGATTGACTCTAGTAGCTGTCTTTCACAGGTAACTTCTTGTGTGTTTGTATTTGCTTTTGTGATACACAGCCATATTATGGTGCCATCCACCCCATATGTGGACCAGGGTGTAACTAGCCCCCAGCACAAAAATACAGATATTGTATGTGTAGTGTTTCAAGCAGATTCCTGCCTCTGTGACCACTCCAAAAAGCAGAAGTGGTCATGGACGTTGGAGTAACCCTTTAACCCCTAGTTAGCTGTTGATCAATATCCTTTACCACGGATTGAAGAATTGTTTAGTCCCCTTGTGGGTGGAATTTGTTTTACAAACATGGACTTACATCAAGCGTACTTACAGTTGGAGGTACATCCAGACTCAAGACACTTGTTAACTATCAACACTCACAAAAATTATTTATTTTTCTTTTTTACATTCTGTGTTTGAGTTTTCGTAATCAAAAGGTAGCATTACAGAAAGGAAAATGTTATTAGGCAGATCATTTATAGCATTCAACCATTTCTGTTGTTAGTCAATTACATGGTTTGTTGTCAGGGTACTGTAATTATACAGTAGGTTAATGTCTCAGTAGCCTATTGGCTGTGTTTGGTGGTCTGCATAGGGGGTTTGTCCTCAACCCCCTCCCCCCCATCCTCCCCACCTGAGGCAGTGGTCTCTCGGTCTCCCACTCTCTCCCCCTCCCCCCGTGGTGAGGGTGTGTAGCGCCTGGGGTTGCATCTGAGTGCTTAAATTCCTATTTTGCTATAGGAGTTGGTTACGATAGGGAAGGTTCATTTAGCCATGGCTCCCAGATCTTGTAAAAATGTTTCGATTTTTCATGGATAGGCTGAGATCCTATCCATTTCCATTGCATCCTTGGTTTTACGAATTACTGTTTGGAGTGCCCCAAAATTCAGCTATTGCTCTTCTAGTTGCTAGGGCTGTTCTGTTTGTTAGTTTGTTTTGTGCTCTGGTTAAGGGGTCCCAGGGTTTTGAGAGGAGCCAGATCCAAGGATCTAGAGGATGGTCACTTGGAATTAATTAGAGATCAGGTTTGCGACCTCCACCCATAGTGGTGCCAGCTTGGGGCAGTCCCATCATAGATGTATGTATGTATGTTCCCCTGTGTCCACATTGTTTCCAGCATAGGTCTGAGTCTGACCTACCCATGTGGTATAGGCGTGTGGGCATTTGGTACCATCTGGTTTTGCAGGCCTGTTCCTCGTGGTTTACACAGATGGATATGGAAGCGGTGGCCTCCCAAATGTCTTGCCAGTCGGTTGGGTCTTCCAGGGGTCCCAGATCCCTCTCCCAAACCGACACATAGGCCAATGCTCCTGAGGGTAGGTTAGAAATTAGGAGTAGGTAATTGTCGGTGATCTGTCCTTTATGGGTTGGGTTGTGTATGCATGCTTGTTCAAAGGTCGTGAGTTTGGCGGTGGAGTTCTAGGAAGTTTTTTTTATCTGTATATATCTAAAAAAGTCATGTGTGTTGTAGGTTAAGTGTTGTGGTAGGTCATTTTATTAGAGTAATTTCCCTTCAGCAGAGAAGTGGTAGAGCCTATAGAGATCATTATATTCATAGTGTGTGAAATCTTTAGGATACATACCTGGGGGAAATGCTTTGTTGCGGAGTGTGGTGATGGGGAATTTTCTATCAAGTTTGTCCCATACGCTTATGGAGTTGGTTAGTGGTGGAGGTGTGGGTGGTGGTGTGGGACGGGGCACCCAAAGTTAAAGATATGGCAAATCAAAGCCAAATAGGTTTTGGTTTAGTTTGTGCACATCAGAAGGAGATCATCAGCATATGTTGCCGCTTTATAAGTTTGTGTGCGTACCGTGATGCCTGTAATCGATTGTATGGAGTCAATGAGGTGCAGCAAGGGTTCAAGAGAGGGTGAAGAGGATGGGGGATAGTGGGCATCCCTGTCTCGTTCCATTGTATATGGAGAAGGAAGGTGGATTCATGTTAGGAGGTTGTCAGTGGGGTTGGAATATATTGTGTGCAGAGCATCTAAAAAAAGGTTTAGGGAGTCTAAATTTCTCCATGGTAGAGCAAAGGAATGGCCAGTGTAATCTGTCAAATGGCTTCTTGGCATCAAGGGATAGGAGTATGGTCGGGATAGAGCAGCGGTCAGCCACCCAGATCAGGTCTAGCATCCTTCTGGTGTTGTCACTGGCTTGGCGTGAGGGGATAAATCCCACCTGGTCCGGGTGGACCAGTTTGGTGAGTTATGGCAGGAGTTGGTCGGTAAGTATCTTGGTGAATATTTTCACATCTCCGTTTAGTAGGGAGATGGGTCTATAGTGGCCTGGATCCGTAAGGGGTTTATTGGGCTTGGGTAGGAGGCATATGTTGCCTGTAACATTTCTTTGTTTGCCCCATAGCAGGGTGTTGTATAGACGTCCTAGGTGGGGTAGGAAGGTGTCTTGTAGTAAATACCCGAATATCCATCCAGTCACCTCCCGTTCGGAGATCTGTAGAGAGTTGTGTGATTGTGTTTTCAGGGAGAGTGGGTAGTTGCATACACTCTTTCCTAGAAAAAATACAATCTTGCAGACTAGTATTTTATTGTCTGTGGTGGTGGGAATGGTCAAATAAGTCGGTCATTTAAGTCAGAGAAGTATTTTTGAAATGTCTCTGTGATTCTTGTGGGTATGTCTGTGATGTGTCCCGACTGGATGCAGATGTTGGTTATGTCTTTAGCTTGGGTGCGCTTGCGTAGTCTACTTTGTTGAATTTTTCATAAAACATTTGTTTAGTCCATTGTAGGGCTTTTGTTGCATTGGCTGCCATCGCATTCTTGAGGGCTTGTCTCTGATGTTGGAGTTGTGTTGTGAGGTCAGGAGTAGGGTTTTTTTTTGTGTTGGGACTTGAGGTTCTTGATTGTTGTAAGAGCGGTTTCTAGGTGTGCAAGGCTTTTTTTGTGTGTGTGTGTGCAGTGGCTATGCTGATGAGGGAGCCTCTGATTACTGCCTTGTGGGCTGTCCACAGGATTGGACTGAGTCCTTGTTTGTGGTGAAGTAGTTTAAGTTCAGTCTTGATTTGTGGTATTGTTTGTGGGTCATGGAGTAAAATGGGGATTAGTCTAGAGATGGTCTGGAGATTTGTGGTGGTTGGAATGTCATTGAGATATCAGCGTGGTCAGACCACGTTATGTTGCCGATTGAGGTTGCTGTCATGAGCGGGAGGAGAGATAGGGAGATAAGGAAATAATCTATGCGGGAATAGGTGCGGTGTAGATGTGAATAGAATGTAGAATTCTTTGTTGTTGGATGGTGTATTCTCCATATGTCTCTCAACTTAGTCTGGGATATGAAGTCTGCCATGAGTTTATCCGATGTGGAGGGTTGGGTTTATGCTTTGGCCTGTGACCAGGGCCGGCGCTACCTGTTAGGCGGACTAGGCAGCCGCCTAGGGCGCCCCTTGGGAAGGGGCGCCACTAGGAGCGCCGGCCCCACTCATGCTGCAGCCGCCCGAGCGCTCTGTAGAGAGCCTCAGGCGGCTGCAGCTTTGCCCGGGCTGGTGCGTCCATGAGGGCGCACTGCACCGCCCGGGCGCAGCCTGAGGAGAGGGGCTGACAGGAGGGAAGCGCTCAGCTCTGCCTCCTGTCACTCCCTCACTGTAGCGTGGCCGAGCTCTGTATGGTCCGCGGGTACACGGAGCATCTGTCTCCTGTACCCGGCCGGACTGAATGTGCACTTCCGGAAACAAAAGCTCCCTGTACCTGCGGACCATACAGAGCTCGGCCACGCTACAACAGTGGTAGAGGGGGATAAAGAAATTGGATGGGGGGGGAAGGAAATTGGAGAGGGGGGGAGAAGGAAATTGAGAGGGGGAGGAAATTGAGAGGGGAGAAGCGAGACGGGAAGAAGGAAATTGGAGAGGGGAGAAGGAAATTGAGAGGGGAGAAGGAAATTGAGGGGAGAAGGAAATTGAGGGAGAAGGAAATTGGAGGGGGGGAAAAGGAAATTGGAGGGGGGGAGATTGACATCCATCACACACAATGCACCTCTTGCACACAGAAAAACACACAATGCATTACACACACAGACACAAGCAATGCATCCCTTACACACACAGAAACACACAATGCATGCATTACACACACTCAATGCACCCCTTACACACACTCAATGCATCCCTTACAGACGCACACACTGCATCCCATACATACACAAACACACCTCGCAGCCCTTACACATACAAACACAGATTCACACAATGTCCTTACACACACCAGGACATCCACTACACACTCCACCCCCTGTGAACAAACTCATTGGTGGAACATGAAGGTGGACCCTGGGACCCAGACCTTGAGCTGTGTAAAGAGCCCCCCAAAAAATGGAGCTGCTTCCCGTTCTCCCAGAACATTGATTTTTGTGACCACAGTTACAAACCGCCTCCAGAGAACCTGTTCTGCACCAGACCAGTGGAGCCAGACTGCAGCTAGAGCCCATCATCATCCTCATCTGGTTGTAAGTAGGCAATCCAGTATATTATTCGTGGCACTAATCTCTAATTTACCTCACATTAAAGAAACATTATAGTCTCCAGAACCACTGCAGCTTAATGTAGTGGTTCTGGTGTCTATAGCCTGTCCCTGCAGGCCTTTTAATGTAAACACGGCGGCTCTGCAGCACTGGCGTTAGTTAACATGGCAGATCATATGAGTGGGGCATTGTGATGTCACAAGGGGGGGGGGCGGCAACCTTTACTTTTGCCTAGGGCGGCAAAAATCCTTGCACCGGCCCTGTCTGTGATGGCTGTTTTAGTCTATCTATCATTTGGGTAAGTGTAGCATTGAAGTCCCCTCCAAAGATTTTGTAGCAGTTGGGGTAAAGGCTGAGGTGGGCATTTAATGTGATCCAGTATTCTGGGTCTCGGATTGTAGGAGCGTAGATGGACGTGATCGCGTATTTGGATGGGCCAATTGCTCCTGCTATAATAAGGACTTGTCCGTGAGGGTCTTTATGTGTGTTGGTGACTTGGAGGGGGCATGATTTCCTTAACAGGATTGCCACTCCATTGTGTTTGCCTGAGTTTGAGTTGGCTAGGTGGCAGGCTTTAAAGTGTCGGCTCAGGAGTGGGAGGGGGCATTTGCTCGACTAGTGTCTCCTGCAAGAGGTTAATGTCTGCTTTGGTACGGTTGGCCCAACGCATAAGTTGATGTCATTTTGAGGAGTTATTTAGCCCCTTGCAGTTGATTGAGATGCATGTTAGCCTAGTAGGCATTATAGTATGGGTGGGTGTGTTGTAGTGGGGTGGGGGAGTGGAGAGACCAATACCCAAGCAGTGTGCAGTCCCCGACCCCCCAACGAGATGGTCTTTCATGTAGCAACTTGATAAAACCAATATAAAACCACATAGAATAAAAAACAAATAGTAGTAACTGCCT